TAGTTTATTAGATATTGAATTTTATGTGATACCTTGATAAAATCTGATTAATCAAATTCTTACCGTGTTTCCCCGAAAGTAAGACATCCCCCCAAAATAAGACCTACTTACAGTTTTGCCTCTCGCTGAAATATAAGGTATCCCCCTCGAAAATAAGACCTCCCCGAAATTAAGGCCACCCCAATAATAAGGCCCCCCCGAAGCTACTGTAACTCTGGACTCTGGACTGTGGCGGCTGGCACTGTGAAACAGCTCGATGTTGGCCGGAGCACAGGTGGAGCAGACAGGAAGTGCGAGGTCTCTTTTAATCAGAGAGCCCGCGCGCGCGGCTGCCAGGACAAGCTGCTGCCCGCTGCTTGCTCTGCTCTGACAGTCTGGCTCGCTTGCGTGGGGGAGGAGTAACAAGAAATTCTTGGTATTGTAGGATTCACAGTTTGTCTGGTTATGCTGGTTTGCGATTACTACTACTGTACCGTATACAGGTAATAAATATCCTTTTTTTTTGTTCAGCAATAAATGTGTACCATATTCTTCATGGAAAAATAAGACATCCCTTGAAAATAAGACCTAGCGCATCTTTGGGAGCAAAAATTAATATAAGACACTGTCTTATTTTCGGGGAAGCAGGGTAGTAACTCTTACTTGTGATTAAAGCCACAAATCAGTGTTGGCAAAGTTTGACATGTGAAAGCTACTATGATACCATAGCAAAAGCAGAATTAGAAAATGGAGTAAGTTAAGAAATAATTTTTTAAAGATACAAGCATTAAGGTACAACTAAAAGTATATAGTAATAGTGTTTATAATATAGAGGCAGCTTGGGAGATGAGAGGTTATTTGTTGACTTAGTGTCTATAGTCTGCATATCTAATTCTCCCACCCTCTCAGCCGCCATTTACCACCACTTATCAGTGTATCAGACATACAGTCATGGCTTGTAGGTTGCTGTGATGTGGATGATAAACTGGATAGCATTGTGTAGAATGGGAAATCCAGAACACAAATCCAGAATTGCACTCTAATGAGACCTATACATTATAGGAACCCAAACTTACTTGGCCTACTACTCCTGTTTCAGAAAAATTCAGCACCTTCATGACAATGAGGATAAAGTGTCAATCTCTGCTTTTGCCACTCTGAGTTATTCCAGTTCCAACCACGAGCCAGTATGGGTCTGCTTTGGGAAACACTACTGTGCACAGACCAAGAGTACTCACTGGAACAGACCTCTTTAAAGTGTTACAGAGCACGGATGTTGCTTTGAGAATTAGGAGTGTCTAAGTTAAGCCTTTTTATTTTTACTTGGCTCATCTGTATGTGAAAGCTGGATAATGAATGAGAACTACCAGAGAAGGAAAAAAATGCATTTGAATTATGGTGATGACAAAGAATATTGAAAGGACCGTGAACTGCTAGTACAGCGGTTCTCAACCTGTGGGTTGCAACCCCTTTGGGGGTTGAATGACCTTTCACAGGGGTTTCCCAATTCATAACAGTAGCAAAATGACAGTTATGAAATAGCAACAAAAATAATTTTATGGTAGGGGGAGGGTGACCACAACATGAACTATATTAAAGGGTCATGGCATTAGGAAGGTTGAGAGACACTGTACTAGTAGAACAAATAATTCTGTCTAGCAGGAAGTTTATCCAGAATGTTTTCTGGAAGGGCAGAAGGTGAAACAGTGGCTCACACGCCCTGGACACGTTATCAGGAGAGGACAGTCTATTGTGAGTAAAAGAGGAAGACCGTCAAGACCAGAAGGTTGACCCAGAGACTGCAACAGTGGGCTCCAACATGACAATTGGGAGGATGGCTCAGGAGCAGGCCGTGTATCTTTGTGTTGTGCACCGAGTCACACTGAGTTGGAACTATATGAAACACACTGTTCCACTGGCTATCTAAGAGAGACATCCCAGAATCAGGGAGAATCTTGTCAACATCAAGAAAGACGCGCCGACCAGTGGAGTGTATGTAAGATCTCTGGGGGAAGTGGCAGAGGCACCAGAGAGCATGTACTACTGAGACGGTGAGACAAAGCAGCGGGTCCACACTGAGACCAGAGGTACAGGTAGAGGAGCAGTGCCGGGGCAGCGAGGGAGCGCTGGCTTCCTGGCCCACAAAACAAGGCGGAGGGCACAGGGCCACTTGACTGAGTCTGAAAACCAGAGAAATACATGGCTGAGAAGAGGTGTTGCTGTGGACATTAGACTGTGTCCTTAATGTTTTTTTGATCATGACCCGTGGGAACCTGTTAACTTCATTAATAAACCCCAAAAATTGTATTAAGCAAGTTCTGGGTGGCCATGCAACTGATTATCAAACTCAGCAGAGAAGCAGAGTCATCGGAAGGCCGGTTGGTGTCAGAATAGGGTAAAGGAAGTTGAACAGTGGGGGCATGTCTGACCTTTGCCTTGGGACAGATGACCTTAGACTGGTGTGGAACTGGATGCACCTCCCGTTCCTCCCTTGTAAACCTGAAGGAGGTTAGACAGGACCCTGCTCCATTTTCTTAGCATGTGAGAGCTACACAGTGAATAAGGAAGACTGGAGAAAAATGGTTGGGTTTGAAATGCAGTATTGGAGAAAAATACTGGAATTACTGTGAACTACCACAACAAACACATCCGCTTTGGGTCAAGCGATCAGCCAGAGTGCTCCTTAGAAGGCCAGATAGTGTCATTTACCTTATGTACCTTGTGGATCTGTTAGCGGGATGGACAAGTCCATGGAAGAGGGCCTCATGCTTAGTAAAGGGTCATTGATAAATAGGAAAACCATCAGTTAGATGGATTGACAGTGCCTTCAATCGGCTCAAACGTAGCAACAGTTTTGATGAGGGTACAAGGCAGTGTTTTGGTCTGCTGTATATAGGGTCCCCGTAAGTCAAAACCAACTGTGTCACCTAGCAGCAATGGCAAAATGACCTGATGCAGTGTAGTATATATAATAGACTTATTATTTGAGTGCTATACTATAACTTTGTTTTTGTCTAAGTTTTAGCCCGTGTAGAGGTATTCCTTAAATAGTTTTCTTCAGGATGGATTTTTGTTTTGCCCCACATACCGTATGTACTGGCGTATAAGCCGGCCTGAATAGCAGCTCAGGCACCTTGTTTTACCATAAAAGCTGCATTAAAAATACGCTGAAAAACTCGGCGTGTACGCAAGTATATAGGGTACATGTTTTTCTTTAGGTTACTGTAACAGAAACTGTAATAAAATTTGCTACAACTGGGTGGCAGTGTTGATTTCTAAGACATCTAACAAAAATGCCATACCATTGGTTTATAGTCAAAATCTTTTGAACAGGAAGGTAAGTATGAATGTATTTTTATGTGTTAGTGAGACATTTAGTTGTCATCTGTCTCATCTTTATCTAATTATCTCTCTATAATCTATCTAATTCAACTTAATCTTATGAGCTCTGATTTTGATTTTATATACTTTTTGGAGGGCTGGTGGCATAATGGGTTCATGTGGGGCTACTAACTACAAGGTCTACCATTCAAGGTCACAAGCTGCCCAACCAGACCACAATGAGGCTCTCAGCTCTGTGACGATTTACAATTTCAGAAACCCAAAGGAGCGATTTCTGCTTTGACAGATAGGGTCATTGTGAGCCAACCACCTGCTGGCAGTGGGTTTGTTTTTTCATATTTTCAACTTCTTATTAAATTATGACAAATAGTAAAAACATTTAAAATCAACTATAAAATCTTGCCTATTATTAAGAAACATTCTTTGTGGTGGTTATTTCAGTAGATAAAACAGAATATAGTTTGTTTCTTACACTTAGGCAACTAAGTACATAAAGGCTAGATTAGTTCTATCTACTTTCTTTTTTAAGACAACCCATAAATATTTTGATTTAATCTCATTAAAAAAATGAACTTTTGATCATTTATTGTTTTCATTATACTGGTCAGATATTTCAGATTTTTTTTTTTAATTTTTTCCAGTAGGCATTTTGGTTTCATTTGTTCCTATTTCTTGAATACAATGTCTGTTCCTTCTTCTCTCCGTGTTACTGTCTTCTTACATCTGGCAATCTATGTTGACCCCCCCCCCCAGTGTCAAACTTCAAAAGGGATTATATTTTAAGTGGTGCACCGTTCATGACATTAACAATTTGGAATTTCTTTTCAATCAGATGTGAAAGACTATATTCTTTCTTAAAATTGAAAGAATACTAAAGTCTAGAGCTTAATTGGTATTATTATTTACCTTTAGATGTGAATTTCTCCAGGCAGAGAGGGGATATTTTTATTCCTCAGTCTAGTTTAATAAACTTCTTTTTTTTTTT